AACTCCTAGTATCCCCCTCAGTAGCTCCTACAATACTTGCCTATATAATCCCTTGTATACCCCCCTTTAAGAGTTTGGACGATAGTACATAATGTGTTTGTTTCATCGTGCTGAAGAGCATGTTGATGCTGGTTGCTTGACTCCTTCGGTTCCTGCACCGCAGGACATGTCGGCTGGGCCCTGTGGGGGCAGCACCTGCTGAGAGCAGGCCACACGCGGTCACGGAGCAGAGTGTGCCAAATTCAAGCTCTGCGTAGCATTTAGTAACTAGTAGGAGGGCCATCGCAACAGAAAGGGACACGCGCAAAAACTGGCATTTGCTCTGGGAACTGTAGACTGGTGCGCTCCAGCGGGGCTTTGTGTCCGACGCTGGTTGTCGTTGCTGATGGTGGTGATGATTGGCATTACCATTTGCGCCCTCTACGTTGACTGCAGGAAATTGGTGGGTCAGGTTTGTGTCTGGCGCATGCAGGGAAGTTAATTGCGCGCACATGTGTCTTCATTCGCATTTTGGGGTCTGTAGGAGTGCTCTGTTGTTTTCTCGCAGCCATGGGGATTCTTCAAGAGAATTTCCAAGCTTGAAAAGAACATATTCAGGTTTCTCAAGAATGAGCCATCGGCCTGTGTCTGCAGAAGTCCTTATGCAGTGAAGCATGTTGAGATGACAAGGAACACTCTAATTATGACAACAAGGAGCCCTAATTGTATCCAGGCTGGCACTGAGTTCTAAAGAGTCCAAGCGCCGGCGGAGAGTTCGGAGGCTGGTTTCGAGTCTGCTTTGGATTTCAAAGCGGGGAGAGTTGAGTTACAGGAATTGCCCAGGTTTGTTTTAAGGACAGTGAGCAAGGATAGTGCATGACTGTTCGGTGACTCTCAAGTTGGACTATGGATGAGCTTAGAATCGACTGATAGGTGGTGTGTCTCAAGATGTCGGACAATTCTAGGTCCCCCAAAATTCTAGGCCGCAACAAATTGGAGCCCAATATTGGGTGGTTGTATAGAAGGCATGCTCTTGCATAGTATGTACTTTGGACAACTCACGTTCCCATGTCATGTGTTCTGTAAAGCGCAGAGTCTGGTCGGTCGCTTGGTTGACCTGTTATTGTGTAAACCTTACATCGGCCAATTCAAAGGCTCTGTGCAATGTGAGGATCAAACTCTGACATGTTTGTTGTCCCTTCAGTTGTCAGGGCAATTTCGAAGAATGTCGACGCCCTTGATTCTAAAGCGAGCTTGCCGGAACCGACCCTTGGTGTCCAGACAGAGCCAGTTGGAGGAGTAGGTGTCCAAGCCTAGTAGTGCGCGTTGTTGCGGTGGTGATATCGGTTTTAGGACGCCTTTGTCGCTTCTCTTGTATTGTGCGAAACATTCACCACAATAAGTGTGTGCATCGCGCGGTATCTGTGTGCCCCGACCTTTCCGTCTTACGTCAAAGACATCGACTTAGAAAACCTCAACTGGCTGTCCGGTCATGCACTGATTCTGTGGCGCGTGCACACTCTGTGCTGTGCGTCGGCCTTGGGTCTCAGGTGTTTGCAGGGCTTCGTGTATGGCGTGCATTTAGGCTACGAACAAGAACTTCTTGTCATGTATATCGAAATCGCTGTTGGCTGGAAAACACGATCCCTACAATCAACAAAATCCTCAGAACACGTCTGTCTCTTCCCTCGCGTAAGTTTTTGTTGCCGGTACTAGATTCATCAGGGCTGAGAAGCTCCCACAGTCCCCATTCGCAAACCCTAAACTTACTGGTTCTCAGTAGGGAATAAAGGAATGTATTTACATGGGGATTATATTCCCTTCCCTTATCTCCTACTAAGAACCATGCAGTAAGTAAAAGGGTAGAAGCAAACCCTCAGCCCAGGAAGCTCAAATTTTTTTACGTCGTCCAGTTCGGGAACAACTCGGGTCTGGTGCGCGACCTCTTGAGACATCGGAGAATCTGGTTCCCAGGCCCACGCAGACGACTAAGCAATGCCTGTAGTCGCGTTCCTGCGTACGTTTTGTGCGCGTGTCTGTGTAAGAACAAACGCATAAATTATGCTACCCTTCCCCTGCATGGATCTACCATTTCTTGCGCTAGAGGCACATAGTGTCAGGACCTTGCCTGAAAAAAGAAGAGCTGGCCCCTCGTTTACTAAGCTGAAACGATTTTGACGTAGCCCAGGGGCACTTGCAATTATACAAAAGCCAGTGCAAGATCCATGGTTTCAGTTACGTGGAGACAAGAGAACTGGCCCTCTATCCTTGTAAACTGGAATTCTTAGAAATGCGCCAGAGGTTTATGTAATTCAAATACTGGATATCAAGAGCCACTTCCAGCACAAGATTATTGAAGCTTACATTCGTTTTCAAAGAATGGGCTCGCTGGGAAGTGTGGAAAAATCTGAGCCTGTCCCCACATTACCCATGCGCCCTGCACATTCCTGCACACTAGCTTTGCCAGGTCCGGGTGATCCGGGCTACATGCCACGCCGGTACGAGGCACGAGGCTACCTCCACGGAATCCTATAGTATATCACACTATATTATAGTGCAGTATGGTATATTATAGTACATTATAGTATATTATAGTATATTTCTTAGCATACTATAGTATATTATGGTATATTATGGTAAATTACAGTAAAATAATATGGTATGTTGCAGTATATTATGGTATAGTATGGTATGTTATTTCAGGTTCGGGGTTTACAGGGATGTTGCCGGGGACCAATGGGATGACATGGTATGACCCGGGACAAGGAGGCTGCGAGAATTCCAAAACTTTGCTAGGCTTCTCAGAAGCGTGGGTCGTGGTGGGTTGGGGCGAGTGATAGAGCGCAACAGGAATTCCCTGTTTGGAAGGCTCTATTTAGAACTGCATAGGAGTTCAGTTTTGAGGTTGAGAAGATGGCTGCTAAAGGAATGCTGGACGGAGTAGACTGGAGTAGGCCTTGAACAAAAACTAAGTCCTCACTCAATTTCTAAGATGTCGTGAAAAGAGCCTTTCCAACTGTTTCGACGCGAGGTCATCGATTTCTGAAGGATACACTTCCAAGTCTCTGCAACGCGGTTGTCCTGGCATTGGTCACGATTAACTCGTTCTCCAGCAAAGTATCTTGTGCTACATGATATCATGAATATCATTGTCTTGCATCATAACTATGTTGATCCAATTTTGGCCCTTCACAGAGTTCATGGCATGAGTGAGAATAAGAGGTGCTGGGCCCTCATGCCTGGGCAACGCCACAGAGGAAAGCTGCAAAGCTCTCGTCATGATGTCCTTTTGATCCACTTGGGTGGCCTTCTACATCAGCGTTCTTTTTTCTTCCGACATGTCGGAGATCTTTGAGATTATTGCTGCAATTACCGTTACTATGGTCATCATACTGTAGATGTTATTCTGACTAGTGCCCCTACTACGTACAGCCATTGCCAATTGAAGTTTCTGAAGCTCTCAGACTTGAAGGCTCCGACCACCAAGCTTGACACCAAAGGCGCGTGCTTTCCATGCAGATTTATCGTGAAGCATACGGACCGGCAAAGATGCTTTCGTAGAAAGACCCTGGGTTGCTGTCTATGTGGGTATAGTCCCCCTTAAGTACATAGACTATGGGGTATATGGGGATCCTATTATAATATACCCACAGCCATATTCTATCTACTGAAGCGGGACTCTAGATGGTGCAGTGCTTCTGGGAAAGAGCATTCTTTGGCTTCTGCTCGTTTTGGCTGAGTCGCACGGCCTCCTATGCCGCGCATCTTGTCAGTGTACAGTAGCCGATATGCCAAGCCCACACTCCGAAAATTCTTTCACAGGAGTCAAGCTCGTGGAGTCATGAGTTCTTTGCGGGTATCTCTCAAAATGACCCCCGTAGCCCCTGATATAGTAGAATGCCAGTAGATGGTTCCAAGGGTGTCTCTCAACATGATCCCAACAGAGTAGGATCCTTTGTATATAGCTCTGCACCCCAAAGGACCCATGACTTTTCATATTCCGCCAGAGATTCTAATCAAAGCGCGCTTCCCCAGCTCGTGACAGGTCTCAAGCTGGAAGCCGGAGCCGAACTACCAGAGATACAGTTGCAGCTGGGCTGCAAGGGTTGGAGGCCTATGAAAAAATTGAATTCCTTCAAGGAAAAGGGCCAGCGCTGCAGAAGTGGCAGATCCAAGTTAGCATATGCATCGGAGTTTGGCTGTGCATCCCAGGTTGTGTTTAGCTTTTCTCCCTGTGCTTTGACATGATTCTATTGCAGTTCCCAGTCCAAGTTGGATTGGTCGGAGGCCTGCCAGTAGGTAGCCTTACACGAGGTAGGTGCTCTACGAAGTATCAGCAGCTGCATATCTATGAGCAGCATCTATCGTTGCTTTTGCGCAAATCAACTTTGCCCTTCATACCGGTCGCCAAGATTGCTGCGAACAGAACCACTCTTCAAGAAAGCAGCATGGTTAGCAGGATGAGATGTTCGCCAGAACTGAGAAGTCTAAAGCCTTCTTGCCATCATGCATGCAAAATTGCCGCCGTTTTCGCACGGTCGTTCAAGGAGTCCTCATATTAGGAATGTGCCCTTTTCTGTGACTCCTCACTCTTGGATATCACCAAAAGGCAGCTTTCAACGACAAGAAGAGGTGCGACAACATAGCTCCAACGAACTGAGATTATAACAATCAGGTTGTGGTCGCAATACGTCGTTCGGGACTTCCTCAACGCAATGGCCGAGGTTCCCAGTGCAATGGGACATATGAGGGCAATAGCTTCAACCATGGCAATAGGCAGGCATTACCGGAAGAAATCAACTAGCAATTGCAGTGACTGTAAGGCCTGTTGATAGTCATGGTCAAATGCGCGCGCAGACAAGAACCAGAGATATCCAGAGATGCAGAGTGTCGCAGACCTTGATCACCCAGGGCTTAACGCAGCAAGATGAACTTGGGTCTCTGCAGCATCGCAGTCCCACACATAATGGTCATATGACTTTTGCATCACGTCTTTGGACCATTCGTTTCCTTTGCTCGAGGATCAGAAAGGCTGGATGGTGAGCTACAACGATGCGCCTGGCGCTGCATGAAGTATGTTTTTGTTTATGCAGCACTTGAAGACTGTAAGAGCATAGTCCTGCGGACACATGCCTAGCCGTGCGCTTGTCATATATGATGTCTCAGGCATTGTAGTTCTGGCTTCTCGAAGTACAGCCGGCCCGATGAAGCATGCAGGAAACGCGCATCCGCGTCGAGCGGCGCGAAGCCAGCGCGGCTTCAGGCCTGCTGCAATGCCATCATGGTCATGATGCTCATGGTAATCGTCGGGAGTCATGTCATCAAAACAGCATGACATGACAAGAATCCTTTGCAATTGCGATATTCGAGATATTGATGATAGCAAAGACGGTGCTCAGAGATTTTGTTGGCTGCGTTGCATTTCACTGACAGCCAGGATCACTTGTGCGTGTGCACAATCACTTCGAGAAGAACGCCCTGATAAGCTCCAAGGCCTGTACGGGAAACCCAAGATTGTTGGAACCTGCTTGTAGAGGCCTCTCCAGAGGACGCGTAATATTGAGAAATCCCAGATGGAAGGATGCCTTGAGGTTATGGACCCCTCTGTAATGCCGATACGCATGATATCTTCACTTACTGTTTCTTTGTAGTTCTTAGTCGGGAAGAAGGGGATATTATCCCTTCATAATCCATATGTAATATATTCCCTTAGTCCCTTTGAAGAACCATTTTGCAATATTTTCAGGGAATTGTAGAGGAGACCCTGCCGTGCGGGAGCTTGTCACACTACCCCAGAGTTCATCCTCTCAGTCCACAAAGGTGCAGGGTTTAGGGTTTAAGGGTTTAAGGTTTAGGGTTCAAAGGTTTGAGGTTTAGGGTTTAAGGGTTTAGAGTTTAGGGCTTGGATTTATCCACGCCAGACAACATGTTGGCAGGGCTACTTGTGGAGTTCAGTGGGTGCCTTGAAGCTTGAAGGAAGCGGTGGAATCCGTGGTTCCTGATATATCCCCAGAAAAGGAGCCACAATTCAGACATTAGAGAATCCTCCTCCGAGAATACCTCTAGTGCACGTTGAGAAGAAATTGTTACATCCTCAACGTTGAGCCTTGAAAGCTAGACCATGGGTTCTATACCCAAAAAGCCCTGCAGTACACGCGCAACCCTCAACCCAAACCCCAAAGACCAGGCGGGTCTGCGAGAGACCATGGTCAGCTACTACCGAAGCCGCGGTCGGGATCCTTTCGGCGCGATCCCGCTGACCTTTGTGGTTGCTTGTCTTTGGATTTGGGGTTCAGGGTTTAACGGGAAAATCGTCGTATCTCTTTGGATTGTTTGCGGGGCTTTAGTGGACTCCGAGTTGAAGACATAGGTTTCTGACATGGACATGTCGTATCTTAAAGTCAGAGCTACGCTCATCATAGCACAGTTCACAAAAGTAAGTGGATTCCATAGCCCGTGGCAAGAATGGACTCATGCTGCGAGAGCTACGTAGCGCCGCCATTTCATTTCTTCTGGTAGACCCTGGGCTACGCATTGCCATGTCTCAAAACAGGTGTCTGCCTTTCACCTCGCAAAAAGTGCTACACACCTTGCCATAGGGCCCCTGATGTTGAGCCCTTGCAGATTGCCAACAATGCACAGGCCAAACCCCCCGGAAGTTTCTTAATTCTGGTGATCCTTCTCCGCCTGAGGTGCACGCAGGCTCCACCGATCCTGAGTTTGTCAGGTGGCTGCAGGCCTTTGAGGCCACTCACGGGCTTTGACAAATTTACACAGTTCAATACTAGCTACCAACTGCCAACTTGCTTGGTACCACCACGGTCTGAAGGCATCTCCAGTTCCTGCCGATTGCTCGTAATCCGCAAAGGGCAGAGATGTGAGATGAAATGACAATATTTGATTTGAGGAAGCAAAGTGAAGCAACTCTGCGCGAGGACTTGCGGGCTACAAACCAGGCTGTCTGGTTGGTGAAGCCCGGAGACAAGGCCAGCTCTTTTAACATTATTTTGCTGTTGATTGCATGTGAAAGTCTTCAGGATTCAATGCACTTGCACTGTTCCCCGCCATGATTCCAGAAGCGAATTGCTGCAGCTTCCATTGCCCAGCAGATATGTGCTCTGCCAAGCCTAGCATGCACAGCTGTGATGAACTCTATCTTTCGGACGTAGTGGTGCATGGCATTTTGCCTGATGTGAGGTCAGGCCCCTAGGGCAAGCCTTGCGCTTTTCGCACTGTGGCTTCATGAAGGTGAGTTGTTGCCGACAGCCCTGAGCTGCACACACATACGCACGAATCCCGACAGACTATGCGCATCTTTTGGACGGAGAGCGGCCAGGCTAACCAGGGAAAGGGCATCGTGGTGTGTGACAGCATGGAAGAGGTAAGGGATGCGGTTGACAGCAACTCGGCCAGACCTGGCAGATGGAGCGTTTAGGGTTTTCAAACTAGGCTTTCGTAGGGATATTTGCGGGCATCCATGGAACTTGTCAAGTCAGATTCCAAAACCCAGACCTGAGACCCCGACCCCAACAAGGGCTGCTGCATGCAAATGTAAACAGCGCAGAAGCCACTTCCCTGGCAAGGCAAGAGCCGTGTCTGGGTCATACAGAAGTACATTGAGAGGCCGTTCCTCATTCACAAGCGGCACCCTGGAGTGATTCAGAATGGAGTTGGACTTCGACTCACAAACACAGGGCTTCTAAGTCTGATTAGCTGTGCTGCACCCTTTCTTGACACGAGCTTTTGAACATCTTTTTCTTCTTCTGAGTGCGATATTCCCTCGTTTAACATCGGCTTTGTTCGCTGCGCCCTCAGGAAGTTCGACATCCGATCGTACTGCCTTTTGGCTCAGGATCCTGGCACAGGCCGGGTCTTAGCATTATGTGGTGCAGATAAAATATCAGGAATTCAGAGCGCTGATAAACAGCATGTCACAGGATAGGCACTGGATTCGCCAGACTGGTTATCGGATAGCGGCTAGATGCTTGTGCTTGGTCTGCCGGGCTAGCCGCAGGGTTGGGGATCAATGAGGCGCCAGTGGAATCCTGCACCGTGTTGACTGGGCCTGCATTCCAGGCGGGCTGTGCGGCTACTTCTACAAAAAGGCAGGTAGTAGGGCGCACGCAGCAGTTTGCGGAGCAGTCTCTGTTTGCCTTCTGACGGCAAGAACTTTGATCATCAATGAGGGCATACACAGCTCTAAAAGCAGCTTCGGGATGTAGACTTCAGCTGATACGTGCGGTGTACCTACCTGTCTGTCATGTGCGCATTCCGCATTCATCCGTTGTCATCATATGCGCATACTGTACATACTGTACATGCAGCAGTTACCGGCCTCAGCACGATGGGAGGCATACCTTCGGACCACAAGTAGGAACTTCACGCTGGATACGAAAGACTGCTTCGTTCATCTGAACAATGACGCCGTGCAGCCACCCGGTTCGGAGCAGCACTTGTCGCTCTTGTCCGCACACAACTTGGAAACAAATCTCAGTGCGTGTGTGCGCGACATGTGAGCAGTCCTGGTTACAGTACAGAGAGGCTGTTGCATACCTCTCATCTCATAGTGGTCGTGCTCCAAGAGCCGGTAGTCATGAATGTTGATTCTGCCAATCCAGGAAACACGGTGAGGGCTACGGCAAGTACGAGGCTGCCAACAAAATGTCCCTTTCGGACTCCCGGCATGACATTGGCATGCACTCTGGACCTTGAACAATCAGCGATGTGTGATTTCACATATCTGTGAAGCAGACGCATGTTCAGTGGCGATCTGTAGCATCTGACAAGCTCGTCTGATATGCTGCTTCTGGTGGGATTGCAAACCAGCAAGCAAGACTATGCTTCGAGGGATATTAGGTAACAAAGCAGAAGGATCCACAAAGAGAGTCAAGCATTCACACGGATGCCATGCAGGGCCTGAAACTCCGAAGTCGTAGCTTCCCATGTCAAAAATCCAAGCCCAAACAAACCCCTAAACCCAACCCCTTGAGCCTAAAAACCCGAAACCCTAACCTAAACCCTAAACCCCGAAAAGCCCTAGACGCTAATCTAAACCCTAGATCCCCCAACAACCCTAAACCCTAACCAAAAGTCTATACCCGGCAAGCCCTAAGAGAAAGGAATTTCAGAGCTACCTCGACGCCCACCACGGCCGGGAGTGCCTGAGTATCCATACAGACCTGCTTCCTCAGATGAAGGCTCTGGGAGTTCTGGCCTGTGGCTAGGGGTTTTGGGTTTTTGGGTTTGGGGTATGTAGAGTTCTCTACGCTGTAACACTGCAAGGATGAGGTCTTGGGATGGGCGAGGACGATTCTGCTGGGGCAAGAGCAAAAAGTGCACCCAGCCGGTATTTGCATGACCAACTGCTTATTGGGATTCCGGCTTAGATGCAGCCCAGCATCTAGTCCCAGCCAGGTGTTGCATGGGTGTGGTTTGGTTGGCGAACCTGATGTTTCTACATCATTTGCCGCCGGTGCTGCGGAGCACCGAGGAATGGTAGCATGAGAGATGTTCACTGTCCTAGCGCCTCTGGCATCTGGAACCTATGGGCTCTGTGAGGCCTTGATGACGGACACGCTGCGGGCGGTTGGCACAAAGATCAACCCTCGTGGCATCCAGCATTGCTTTGAAGCTGCTTGGCGGAATGCAAGTCCGGGCCTCTTTCTTGGCTTCTTGTGAGGGGGACCTCCGAAAAAGACCCCAATGAATTCCAGGCATGATTCGGCATGGCAAGGCTACAAGAGGTATTCCTGGATTGGCGCGAATCAAAATTGTTGTCTGGAAGCTTTGCTTCCTTTCCAGGAGCAGGGTCCTGTCAGCTTCCTTGGCCTATGCACTTTCCCTGACGCGGATGCAGCTAAAGCCAGGTCTTTGGTTTCGACTTCATGGTCGATGAATCATTTCGGGTCTGGCTGATCGAGGCCTATTCAATTGCAGTGCAAAGCTTGGTTGTCTTGGTGTTGCATTTCCACGTTTGGTTGGTGTTCCTTACTTAGTTTTTTCAAAGATGATGCAGCTTTGAGTAGAAAATAATCGCAGATTGTAACACCTCAAGTGAATTTAATGCAGTCTCGGCTCTTCGTATCCTCACCGTCTACCTTGAGCTGAAGGGAACAAGGCTCGACGTATTAGGAAGGACCCCTAATCCCATGAAAGGCCTTCCTCAAACCCTTAGAAGAGACAAAGGCTGCGTCCAGTTTGCCTCAGATGTAGGGTTTCCCAACATAATGCGTTATCCTCGGGGTGCCCACACAAGGAGTCTGTCCATCACTTTGGGGATTTCAAAGGTTGTCCTCCAACGCTGAGAACTTCGGATGCTGACAGGTGAACACGAACCCAAGCTTGGATCCATGCTGCAGCCTTCTGTTGTCGATGATTCCCAAGATGCTGGACGAGGTGGATCGGCTGACAGGGATCGCTGTGATTCTACGCAGGGAACACTGCAGGTAGCAGTGGCAGAAGTGGTGGCCGTTGTCCCTTGCCGTCGTGGTCGTGGTGATGCTGCTGCTGCTGCTGCTGCTGCTGGTGGCGCTACTGCTGCTGCTGCTGCTGGTGCTGGTGCTGCTGGTGCTGGTGCTGCTGGTGCTGGTGCTGCTGGTGCTGGTGCTGGTGGTGCTGCTGGTGCTGGTGGTGCTGGTGGTGCTGATGTTGGTGCTGGTGCTGATGCTGGTGCTGGTGCTGCTGCTGGTGCTGGTGACGAGGGTGCTTGCTCCAGTTCCAAGGCAGAACAATTGCGAAAGTTTTGCATGCCTGGCAACTTCAAGGAAATTGCCTGCCGACAGGTGTAGAGCTGCTGTCTAGCCATTGTTTGCTGCACGGCAACAATATGCAGGAGGCCAACACGTAGCAACTCCCGAACTCCTCCATGAAGTGCTTAGCTTACAAACGATAGCAATGATAGAATGCATCGGATCGCGTGAAGTAGGTGTGTTTTTTTACATCTGTTTTGTTCAGGCAGCCAGGCATGCGTGTATTGCACCGATAGCCAAGCTCTACCTCATAAAGTGTGTATTCATTCTTTTTGCACGGCACTGTCAGGTCTTAGCACTGAAATGAGGCTTTCTATGGCTTTATCATATCCTTACCACAACTCCCCGAAGGCCCTTAGCCTCTCTTTGGACAAGATCTTCGGGGACGCCAAAGCTGTGGCCCACACCGCCTGGGAGCTCTGGGGTACAGCTTTGAGGGTGAAGAGGTTAAGTGGGGAATCACAAGGCTTGACAGGGGTTTGATGATTTGTTGATGGGCTGAAGAGTACCGACCCAAGGGATGCTTGTCGCCGAATTGCTCATGACCAAGAGGAGCCCATCTACAACTCTGAGGAAGCGGTAGAGGAGGCGGCGGGCACTGTGCACGATAACTCTGTCTGACCCCCAAGTTACCAGCAGCACACTCACACTTAGAGAAAGTTATTCGCTTTCCCGCCGTCTCTGCTGTGCACTCCCTGAGGCCTACGACAAAGGCAGCTGCAGTAATGCAAAGTTGCTCATGATTTTTTCTGTCTAGCTGTCTAGCTAATCCTTAAATGCTGCCTGACTGGAACAGGCAATATGTGTGGCGTGGCTTCACCTTGAGAGAAACACTTTCTTGCTGGGCAGGTATGTTGCCCATGGCTGCCACCACTGTCCGCGGAAGGCCCTACCTGATGCTCATCTGCAAAGCCTCTAAAACGAAGGCATGCGGTGGCCGTGGTTTGAAACACATTTGGGCAGCAAACTGTCCAGAGAGCCTGGTGTCGGCATTTCTCGGGATGGCAGGACTGAGCCGTGTTGTAGCTATACTCAGGTGAAGTGGCATCCTGTGCCAAGCATTCGGCGCAGTCCCAGAACTCAGAACCACCTCAAACCTGAGAAGCCCAAAAGCAAGCCGGCCTTCTGAGGAACGACTGTAAGCAGGTGGCTTGGCTGCAGTCTGGATGTCCATTGGTTCAGCAAACCGTGTCCGTTCTTTAAAGCTCAATCTAAGCATGCGAACCTCCCAAGGTGCAACTCGTTGCTGCAATTGGGCATCTCTCAAAATTGGGTCACCCACAGCATAGCTCCGGGATCTGTTCTCTTTTTCTAGGGACCCCCGAATGGCAACCAGAAATTTGAGGGACGCTTGGTTGTCTTTTGCGAACCAGAAGTTTGCATGCAGCGCCTTTGAGCAGCGCATGTTCACCCAGCACAAATCTAGTGATGCACCTGACTTTTACCTGGGGGTTGACACTTCGTGAGGATAGGAATTCCGATGCAGGGCTTGGATGCTAGGTGGGAGCTAAATGGGGCCTGCCACTCATTTAGGGGCTGAGCAGGCAACCAGGGAAAACAAGATGCTGCTTAGTAGCGGAAGTGGACCGCATTCTGTCCACACGCTGGCGACGGCTCCCCTAGCTTTTGCATCAAAGATGGGAAGCTGTGGAGCCCATCCCAGAATTCAGAGTTTTAATCCGAGGTTTCGCTATAGCCATTTCCTGAATCTGAGTCTGGCCATTGGGCCCATTTCCAATCACTGGCAAACGTGAAACTTGCATGCTTTTTTGCATGACCTGTGGGTCCGCAGGGGCTGTGGCTTGGCAAGGTTCGACATAGAGACAGGAGTATTTCTGTTGGTATTGATACCTTGTAGGTGCCGGTTTGACATGAAGACCCTGAACCCTAAACCCTAAAACCCAGGACCCTAAACCCTAATCCCTATAATGTGCTTGCAGCGGCTCCCCAGAGTGGTTCTTGGTGCTCAGCTTTGCCGACCAGCGGAACACAGACACCATCCCCAAGCCATCTAATTTCGAGCCCGTTTAGCTAGTAGTTTCCATTTTATGTTCCATTATCCCAATATTTCCTCATTATAAGCCCATATAACCCTAAATAGTAGTTTCCAATTTATTTTAGGTTTTCGGCAGCCCGGGACGTGAGAGCCCATCCTGAAATCCTTGTTTGCTTCGACGCGCATCTTGACATAATAATCGGATGATTAGCTACCTGCGAAGAAAGGGGATGGGCACAGCGTCAGAGGCATAGTTCCGCAATCATGAAGCTGCTTCCGAGTGGATGTACCGCTGTAGATCACTTCTATCCACCACGGAGATCCCCGCAGGCGTTGATAGCATGGGAGTTTCTCCACACAATGCATTGAAATGTGTAAAGAACCTTTAATACCAACATAGTCCTCTCGATAGGATTCCCAATTTTGAGAAATTCCATCTTTTGACTTTTCAGATTTGGAACCGGTCTCATTTAGTGAGTGCCGTTTGCGGGCATTTGCTGCGAATGATGCGAAAATACACTTCCAAAAAATGCAATTCTTGGCTGGATTGCCCTGAAACGCACGAATAGACTTATGACGTTCATGAGGCGAAAGATATTTTCAATAAGAGAATTTTAAGAATTTGGTTGGAAGTTATGTGAAATTTCAACGGGGTTTGGTATATTAGACTTGCGCCGTTACTGAAAAAAAGTAAGACGATTGATTGAGCAACCAACCGGCTGATGATAGATCTCGAAAGACGGCAAGATTTGATAAATCGATGCATCCATCATTGGTCGGACCGAGAAAAATATTCAAAATTAATAGTGATCAAAAAAAATCGATTAGATGTAGTGAGAAAAATATTGGACAGATAGATTATTACGGAGATATATCAAAAGATAGAAAGGCGAATAAATTTGAGAGGCTTAGATTTGATAATACGAAATACTGTGTTTTGGATAGGGCGAAGGGCGATGAATTCTAGATCTTTATATGATTAAATTAGCGGTCGAGAAGGATTTATAATTAATTTTGAGAAATTTTAGATGATTGAACTAAGATAATGAGAATTTGATTGGGAAATAAGATATATTTAATTAGTCTATTATGGTTTAAAATGATTCGCGAATTTTTTTGGTATTGAAGAATTAAAATCATTGAAAAATCTGAATGAGGTGTATATATATATATTAATAGGATATTATTTGGGCAAGATATATGATTTTCGAATTTGATTATATATTTTTCTTTTTTTTTTTTTTCAG